ATAGAACAATTAACAACAAAGTACTTAAAGAATATTACCTGCTAACTAATAACACTTTAAACAATTAATTTTACACTACTTTGTCACACTGCCCGCCGATCGTCTTACTGCCGATCTCCACACTGTTCGCACTTCAACTGCCTATCTTCAACTATTTAGGCTTCCTTCCAGAATTTCCTACCTAAGTGCCTGTTTTTTGTGCTTCCTTCTATCGACCGTTAATATTACTTTTTCATTGTTATACAACACCTATGTAGCAGGTGACGTGGAAGTTGATAAGATAAGTACGGTTTTGCACAGACGCCCCTTTGGAAGATAGTGATGAGACGAACATGGCTCAGAAATATCTTTCAACACACAAAAACGGACTTTCCTCTCATTTGAATTAATGTCAAAGAAAGTGTAAACATTTGGAAATGGTTTGTCTGGTATGTACTTTATAAGGTTCAGAATATAACGGGTAGGATTGGTAAATAATGTTCTTCGTAGCATCAGAAACAGGATCTTTACGTAGGAGTTCTAGATCTCTAACCAACACCGTTTCAAATGAGACATGCTTCTTTGACAAACGTTGCTCTGCATAGACTCCACACTTCTTGCATGACTTTGACCAAACCAAATCTCGACAGGAACAATAAGAGGCGGTCGGTAGACGCATCTGTTACATCAGCAATGGTGACCATAGGAGGTGGCTTAAGTGTTGTTAGAGGTCTTTTAGCTGGCTGGCTCGGTCGACCCTCGCTGGAAATATCTACTCTGCCTCTGGGTTACTTAGGAGTACTGAAGTTGTTACTAATGCGGTCCTGGCTAAGACTGCTGTTAAGCTACTGCTGCTGGTGTGGCTGCTGGTGCTGGTGCAGTTGCCGCTCCTACCTTTGCCTTTGCTCCTGCTACGGCACCTGCTACTGCTACTGCGGCTGCTGCTGATGCTAGATACAAAAAAAAAATACAGCAGTATCATGTTATAACATAAACATCCAAACATCCCCATAAAGCTTTCACTGTACAGCGCCTATCCTGGTCACGGCACCATTCTGTAGTATAACACCACCCAAATATATTATACAAAAACGACCACTAACCAAAGGAATACATTAAGAACCTTTGCTAATGATAAATAAGTCCTATCTCATTTAATGTGTCACTAAATGTCATCTGTTACCTCATATTAGTCATACACACTTCCAAGTAAAACTGAAGAGGTTTGGTGTTAGTTAGCCGGCAGAGCCGGAAGGTACTGGAGTCCCATACGGGAGGCAATCCAGCTATAGTTGAGATTTCGGAAGATCCTTCATAACACTGGAGTCCCATACGGGAGGCAATCGAGCTTAATCCAGATTCGTTCCGCACGGGCGAAAATGTTAGTAAACTCAACAAGGCTCGTATAGACGTATGACATAAAGTGAGCACAAGAAATCAAAGAAC